CCCCAAAACCCCAAAACCCCAAAACCCCAAAACCCCAAAACCCCAAAACCCCAAAACCCCGTTGGGCATTTTTAATAATTTTATTAAAATATTTAGTCGTATTCTTTCAAGTGGTTCTCTGCTTTTTTGAAGTCTCTTCTGTTGTAGATGTTCTGGTGGGTGTCTTCAGGGTACCAGTCAGGGTCCCTCATTCTGTCATCGTTCTGCATATCTTCTTGTGGCCTCCAGATGTACTTGTGGCAGTGAGGGTTTTTGTCCAGTGGAAATGGTCTCTCGTCTTCTGGGATGTATTGTTGATCAGTGGTGATGGCAGCATGGAATCTGTTATCCATTTCGTACTCGAACCAAGTGTATGGGACACCAAGATCATAGTCTGGATGGATCCTGATAGGTAACTCTCCTGGGATTGGATCCCAAGGGTTCTCGTGGTACTCCCATACCTCTGCTGTACCGAAGGACATGTTAGTCATTTCATCATATGTAGCGCACGGCCACAAAATTTCTACCTTTTCTCCCTTAGAATTAGTTACGACTTGTCTGGCGATGTAAGCTTGGTTTCTCTCGTAGAAGACATCGAGGCCCATGTTGACAGTGAGGTATGCAAAGTCAACCTCCTCGTCTGGGTTGAGACCAAGTTGCTGAATTCTTAAAGCTTCTTTTCTAGTGAGACCTGGAGCTCTCCTCATGAGCTCCTCGACATCAGTGGATTGAGCACAATGATCATATGGCACACTCATGTTGGCACAGATCTTTTTGACATCTTCCATAGTCCAAGCACCATCATATGGAGGGATTGGCCCAGATTGCCTGACTGGGTGCAAATGCCTCATATTATAAATTGGAGGAGGTGGTTCAGAATGGAAGGTCTTAATATTCGCATACATGTCCTCAGTCGTTGGAAGCTTCTCTGGAATCATAGCATGCTTATAATGCAATGGGTTATAAGGACCATGGCCAAAGTTTCTCATAGCCAGCCAGATCATTTTCTTAGGACCCGTCTTGGTCGATGCGAGCTTACTCAGCATTTTTATAATATTAATTATATAATAATTATACGGAATTTCATTAAGTAGGAAATCAAATGGGGTTTTGGGGTTTTGGGGTTTTGGGGTTTTGGGGTTTTGGGGTTTTGGGG